CGGAGGGCGGGCCCCTGCGCTAGGAACCGGTAGCTGCGGAGCGGCGCCATCGGGATGGGGCGGGCACTGGGCACAAGTGAGGGGCACGACAGGTGTCTGGGGCCCGACTGCTTGGCCGAAGCGGCTGCGGGAAGAAGCTGACCCAGATGCCCAGAGTCGCCTTGGGTCCGAATCAGCTCGCACCCCAATCTCCAACCTTGCCAGCCGATGTAGATTTGGGGGATACCCTAGTGGAGGGGCGCGGGGGCGGGGTGTCAGTGGGCGTCTTGATGGGGGACGCCGTACCCCTACCACAGAAAAATCAGCTGGGTCTCAGTGTGTCCGGAACTGGAATTACTGCACCACTGCGAAGAAGGCCGCCGGCCTGGCACTGCCCGGAAGCCTCGCTGCCCTCCATGGCAGCTCTGGGGAAGAGCCCTGTGCCGAGTCCCACAGCCCCAGAGGTGCCAGTTTCGGGGAGCGGAGCGCCTGCAGTTCGTGGGACCAATTCGTGAATTCGTGGGACCAAGTTTTTCATTCTTACCCAAGTGCCCCCTCTAAAACAAACAAACAAACAAACGGAACTAGCTTGAATCTAGTCCGACTCGGGACGATCCCGTGCGCCGCAAGGCGGAACTGCTTCAGAGGGTTTCCTCGGCTTGGTTTCTGGAGCCGCGGATCCCCCAGACCCGACTTTTCCCCTGCGGGGCCGCTGAGTGGGCGCCACAGGACCGTTTCTGCCCTGCGGGGACCTTGTCCAAGCCCACTCAGGATTCTTTCACGCCGAGAGGCCAGCCTGACTCCCACTGTCTTCGCGCCCGGATGAAAAGGGGGTCAAGTTAATGGGTCTTGAGCCGGGCCATCTCTGGAAACCTGTTGTAGGTAGCTCCCTGCGCCCCAGCCCTCCCTCTCCCGCCTTATTGATCGTGGCTCAGCGGACCCAGAAGAGGCACCCGATCTGGTTTCATGGTTGCCCGAGTGGGGCCTGCCGCACAGCAAGGTGTGGGGAGCCCTGCAGCGACTCTCTTGTGCAGCTTCGGGAAGCGGGCCGGGAGCTTTGTGTGCTGAGGATCTCCAGCCCTCGGCCCTGGACCCTGGAAAAGGGGGTCCGCACCAGCCGGGTACCCATGCACCTGGGAAGGTCAAATAGGAGAGCAGTGGGCCAGGGTCTAGGTTGCAGGCCGGCCTGCGTGCTGGACAGAGGGGGAGGGGCGGCGTGAGGCAGCAAACGTTGGGCAGGGCAGGTGGCTGGAGAACACCGCCCGCTCCGGGTGGCGTTTGATGACGAAGAGGTGATCGGAAAAGCACATCAGCTTTGTCTTTCAGAGCTGTGCTGACTCCCTCTGCCCTCTCCATTAGTCTCCAGCCCGCCCGAGCCCAAGCCGTGCCAGCCCAGGGCAGACCCAGGGCTGGGAGGCCGAGCCCAGAGCATGCGCATCCTGGGGCCCCAGCCCCCAGGGTGATGTCTGTTCGGGCGCAGGGCCAGAGCGGGATGGAGGTGCTGTCATTTGTCCGCGGGCAGCAGTGGGAAGGCTGCAGCAGGCTGTTTGCCCCGCAGGCCTAGCGCAGGGCACGGCTCTCTGCTTCCCTTGCCCCACCCCCCATCCTTTCACTTAACGTCATTAACTAATCATTCTCCTTTTCTCGGGCCCAAGAACAAAGCCAGCCAACCGCCAAGGGCAGTCAGCTCCGAATGCTCCTTCCGCCCTCGGCGGGGGGTGGGGGGGTGGAGGAGCTGCTGGGCAATGTCTGGGAATGGAGGTTCGAGGGCCGGATGGCACCCCTCGCCCCCGCAGGCCCCACCAAAGAAGCACAAAGCCTGTGTTTCAAGGCGCAGCCGCCCGGGGCTGTCTGCCTTTGAGAGACGGGGTGTGGAGGTCAGGGGACAGACAGCTTTGGGTGGCTAAATGCACAGGGCACTTACAGCTTCCAAACTAAAGAGCGGTCAGGCTCTGGGAGAGCATTCAGAACGGGAAGAAGACAGAGGGAGGAGGGGGTGGAAGAGAAGGTGAAGCAGAACTCTGGGTAGAGGAGGACTGGTGGGGGGCCTGGACCCTCCAGCTGCTCTGGGAGGAATCTTCCGAAGCAGCAGGGAACACTGGCTGCAAGAGGATGGAGATTCGAGGGAAGAGGAGGTCAGGTGGGGGAGGCAGTGGTGGGCCTTCCAAACCAGAAGGGCTCCTCACTGGGGTCAGGGTTGGCAGCAGCCTTCCCAGGGGTAGGCCTAGACCAAGGGCGGGGTCTTGGGGACAGAGTCCTAATCCTGTCTTGGAGGAAGGGTCCTGGACTTAGAAGGTGGTGCTGTCGTCCACCCTGTGATAAACCCAAGCTCCTGAGATGAGAGGTCTTGGTGGGCCCATGGTGCTTTGCGTGTGAGTCTGGTACAGGGCTGGTCACAGGTGGGGAAACTGAGGCTGAGTGGCATGATGGTTGTCCTCTGGGCCCTTGGAGGTCAGTCTTCTGGGAGGGTGCCCTTTCTGTTCATTGTAAGGCAGGGGGGGAAGGGGTGGGGTTCTGAGTGGTCCCAGCCTCTGTGGGATTGGAGGTGTAAGGATACAGGCCTGACCCTGCCCTCAGAGGCCGCACTGCAGTGGGACCTGAAGCCAGGACTGTTCCCCTGCCCCACTGCAGTGGGCACAGTGAACCTCCACCCGCCCTCTGGCCCAGGATCATCGTCCTGTGAGGAGGGCGGGCTCAGCGGCGGAAGGAAGGAAGGCAGGAAGCTGATACAGACATGCTCGCAGCAGAGCTGAGGACATGAGGGTGGAGGGGAGGGGTCCAGTGATTTTGGCAGCTGTGGAGGTTGGGGAAGCCCCTGGCAGAGGTGGGACCTGGGATCCAGCCTGGGTCTTTGAGGGGCGCCCGAAGCTTTTCCAGGATGAGGGTCTGAGAGGAGAGGCGATTGTGCACGGGAGGGAAGCAGGGTGGGGGACAGTCATGCTGAGGACACCATTGGGCCAGGAAACCGGAAACTGGGGGCTGGGTGGAAGACGTGGGGGACGAGATTGAATGGGGGGAAGCAGCCCCTTTCCCGGCAGGATGCAGTCTCCCCCGCGTCCTTTGCACTTGACCAGGGCAGGAGGAAGGGAGGGAGATGTACCCCAGAAGCACCTAGAGCCCCTTGGAAGAGGAAGAGAGGCGGCTTACTGGGGAGCCGGGAGGGGCTATTTTTAAACTTGGAAACCCCGTGAATTCATCTCCACCCTGAGCCTTGGAGGCTGCAAAGGCCTCTTTGTGCAGGGGTCCTGCGGAGGGGAGTGAGGCACGGGGAGCGTGCGGCACAATGGTGGCGATTATTCTGGATGGAGCAGGGGAAGCGGAGGGTGGGGGAAGGGTGTCTTCGTCACAGCTGGCCTACTGAACTCTGGGGTCGAGCCTGGCTGGG